CCTGAGGAAAATGTACTAAGATTTTAGGAAAGGTATAAAGATTCAAAATTCTAGTAATAATTGACATGTAATTAGCGATTAATGACCGATTTTTCAGTATTTATAACTACATGTATAATTCTACTGCGTTACTGACACAATTAGGTCTATTTTAGCATATTTTGACCTCTTTAAAGCAATTTACATGGGTTGTAAGTGATAATGTGTAAATTGCATTATTTTAGTAACTTTACAATATTATACTGTTAAATATATTTTCAAATTTTCATGAAAATAAGCATGAATTTGGAGGCGTGCTGTTTTAAACATATATTTATTGTATAGTAAAAGTGCTTGAGCAGAATGTATATTAATATTAAGTTACAAAGGGGAATAACTCGTGAGGGCATAATATTGATTCACACTTTCCATTTTGTATCTGTAATGTACGGTTACTTAGAGGTAAAAAGACAAACATGATATTTTGTGTCCACGAGAAAATAACTCATTCCAAATATATGAGCGTTATACTGAAATTAGCGCTATATCGAAGAGCGCTATATCGCGGCTCCAGTGTATATTGTTTAAGGGATATTACGACATGTACGATAGCAACACTGCATCTATTGTAAAAATTGTTTGGTACTTGCACTATATGGTCAGATTGCTAGGTTTGGTTCTTGTATATATAAAACTAAGGTGCTTTCCATCTGCTAGTTCTCTGCAACTACTGGCAGAAATTTAATGAAACTATGGGAACCATCAATACCAATACGAGATGTGCATATCGTCGCCTTGTTCCAGTCAGACCCTTCAACACAGAGTTATGGCCCTTGATTAGTTATATGGCCCTTGATTAGTTATTCAGTAGGCATATATACGCTTTATATACTATTTCTCTGCAGCTACTGTCTGGAATTTAATGAGACTATGGAAACCTTCAATAGGTTTTTAGCCATTGATTTATTATGTAGTATACATATAGAGCAATAATCGTTTCCCTTCTATTTCTCTGCAAGTGCTGGCAGAAATTTAATGAAAGTGTATGGGAGAGGAGATGTGCATATTGTTGCTTGCTCCTGTCAGACCCTTCATCACCGAGTTATGGCCCTTGATTAGTTATGCAGCATGCATTAAGAACAATAATTGTTTCAATGCTAATTTCCTGCTGTTATGTAGAGGAACATATGACAACATCAGAACAAGTTGAAAATTGTATTAAAAACAACTTCAGTTTCGGGAATGAACTACCCATCTTTAAGCTTTTTATAATGCGGCTAGGTTTTGTTATAACTAGAAATGTCATTATAGATTAAATCGTATCAAGTGGCCAGCATTTTATTTGATTATCTTAGTAATTTTATAAAAACAAATTTTGTTTTGATCTTTCTTTCTCGTCAACATCAATCAAAAGGTTTCTATCCTTGTTGTTCTGGTTCATATATTGTACTTTCATAATAAAGCCACCTTAATAATTGCTTTTCAACAATTTGCATCTGTACAATAGGACCACTCAAACTTGTTAATATTGAGAATCAAACATGTGTGTACTCTTTATTCCTGGACTAAACCAGTACTGGTGGTACATAATGAGTATTTCCCCAATAAAACACAACATCCAGGATAATTGTGTTATACAGCTTCAGACCCCAAGTTATCCTTAGAACGAAACTGATTTACGTACATATTATGTTAGTGTATGATAAATAAAACATCAATGTTGTTTCACAAATTTATGTTTATTAAATAGATGAACTATGATATAATCTACATACATGTATAGAACATTAATTTATAAAATCCAAGATTTCTGTAAACATATCATACTTGCAATCAGTACTGACAGTATGATTATTATAATATATTATAACAAAATGTACTTGTACATATTTATCTCCCTTTACTCAATAAAATGTAAAACAGTTAAATAGTAATATCTTAATTCTAACATTTTCTATAACTTGTAAAATGGTCAAATCTGTTGTAAATATCAGTTTGATGAAAAAAAAAATGAAATGATAGCATTTCTGATGTATGTCTTTAACCAACTTACTTAAAAAAATCAATATGAATTTTCATCATAACATGTCAATATAAATCTTCAAATAGTTTTACAACAGCCTCTCTTCTATTGCAAATAAGTTGCAATGACCTTGAATGCCATTTTGTCAGAAGGATAATATAATATTTCATGTTCAAACATCATACAGACTTTAAGGCCCATTATGCCTCAGAAATCTTTTTTTTTTTTTTTAAAAAAACTTTGTTTACAGTTTCAAAAAAATACTCATTCGTCATAAAATTGAACCATCTTTGATCGAGCTGCTTTGTTGGCAATTATAGTATATTATTATTTTGTATGCAAGCAAAACTACTACTTTTGTTTACATTTTGTTCACTTTAGGGCATATAACTGCACATTCAGCGCTACTTTCCCCAGCTATTTTAAAAAATCTATCATTTTCTTAAAATCATTATTAAACACATGTTTGACATTTCTAAAGAATTGTATAAAAACAGATTTCTGAGGCATAATGTGCCTTTAAAGGTATACTCTGCATGATAATTTAGTATAAACTGTTACAAAGGTAAATTACTACAAAATTTTCACATCGCATATACATTGTACCTCAATCAGATAGATACATTCAATTGTGTATGAGTTGTGTCCCGGCAATAAATGAAATATGGACAATTACAAATCCTAATGGTAAATTCCACTAAGAAAACTTTATACATGTATACCAAATCATAAAAGTAACAAAACGGCCATGATGCCCCTAATTAACCAAGTATAAGTAATTACATTGTATTACAATATTTACAACTTTGTTGTATGAGAGTATTATTACTGATATGATTTTGGTTTGAGAGAACGAAGCTATGTTGAATACATATACATAATACAAAAATACTTATCTTTGTAAATTATACAAAATCATAATTAGGAAACTATATACATAATACCCACAAAAAACATCTCTTAAAGTAACAAGAAGGCCATGATGACCATAATTCGCCATATTTCACGTCATAGTAGCATGACAATATTCCATCCTTCGGATGTATCCTTATTGTGTTACCTTAATATTTTATTACATATACATAGGTAAGTAACGCACATGTCATTTTCTGATCACTTAATATAAATTATGTACATGCATATAAACATACTAGTTTGACAATGAGATACACAGTACCTCAAACAAGAAAAAAGTATTTAGAATTTGTAAATATACTTGTATATACTTAACTGAAAAAAACGAGATCAAATCTGACTAGAACATGGATAACTAATACATTAATAAATTATGTACAAATATACAGATCAACCTATAACTATAGCTTTACACCACTTAAGCACACATCTACTGAAAGTTTAAGATACTTTTTTCACTTCTCTTTATTAAACCAAGGAGGCATTTTGTGTAATTTTATAAATTTCTTAAAGACTTCTGAAAGTTAATACGGTCATTTATAAAAAAAACTGTTTGCTATATAACCTGAAAGCATCGGTTATATTAAATTATAGCCATCTAATCTAGGTCATATAACTTGTCGAGTCATCCAACCAATGATATATTTTTATCTTAAAATAGAATGGTCTTGAAACGCGCTAGGTAAATCCTTCTCGCCACAATATAGCATGTCTTGGTATAACTCTGTATAGTTTTCTATATGCTGATTATGTAAGTGTTCAAGAACAGGGCAAAAACTAAATATACAATGTAGGAGCAAACATGAAAATTCTGGCAACATGATGTGCTTTAAAAATCTTTAAATATGTGAAAGAAAGATAAATATTTCAGAAAATAATGTGATTAAGCCATGATCTATTGAAAAACATATAATACTTGCGAACAAACGGCGCCATTTTGAAAATGCATCAAATTTAACATCAAATATTTGTAAATGACATTGTGAAATATTATAAAATCTTCACATGATACAATTAAACAACATTTTTCTTTGTAAAATCAATTTCTATTTTGCAATTGAACAATGCATAATTAAAAAAAAAAACTATAAAAAATAAACTAATTTTCATTGCAGAATTTATAATAATTGTTACTTTTTAAAGTAACAAAGGTCTGTGTTAATTTAATCGTAGCCAAAATTAGCATTTTCATAATTTTTGATTGATTTATCTTATACACATTAAATTTCCCTAAAAATTTTTTTTTTTGGAAAAACGGCCAAATGTACTATGCCAGATTACGGTTGGTAGATTTCCATAACCAATAGCAAAATGCAACATAAAAACTTTTGTTCTAATTTTTCTATAGTTATTTTGCAACTTTCAAATTTGATTATCCTTTTTGTAAGCGTAAGCGAAAAAAAGTAGTAAATCAACAAACTTATACTCATCAAAATTACTGAATAATTTGTTCCAACAATATAATGATTTTTTTCAAAGCTTGTCATTATGTAGTGATATGTTAAACTATTTCACTCCAAAATAGCAGAACACATAATTTAATCTTATTAAAATAAAAAAAAATTTAATCTAATTTCTTTAAAGTGAATTGGTCTATAATGGAAGATCTATATTAACCATAAATAATTATTTTTATAGTTAGTATTTAGTTTGATATGTTAAAGCAAACCACAAAAAAATGTATATTGGTGTTGTAGGCATGTGTTAGATACATGATCCGATACGATTTATAAATATATAACATATAATAAAGTTTTCTTAGAACAAAATTTTATAATTCACCATATATTGTGTTTATTACCAGCATACTAAATCATTTTAGAACTTTATCAACATTTCCAAAATATATCCAAAATACACAATGCAAAATTGTTATCAATACTTGTGGAAAATGTGCACATTGTAGACCAATCCACTTTAATTACAAGAATATTTTACAAGTTTCATTTGTGTTTTTTAATGGTATGTGAGTAAGTTCAGAAGGATATTTTGAAATATTTGACAGCGGCCTTGGTAAGAACTTTCTTTACAGATGTAAATTCTCCTTGGAAGAAAACAAGTTTAAGTACAAATGATGCAAAACTTTGCTGGTCTGTCTTTGTTTCAGCATTTAGGAACTAAAAGATTGTACAAGGTATTGGTGATGCACTGTTTTTAAACATTTTTCTTTGGGATATGTTTCTGTATAGCCAGGAACCAGGTGTTAAGTATTCATATTGGACTCTAGTAGAAGCATAATAATCATTGTCGAGCTGATTTTCTGAAAAAAAGTATAAAGAATAAATGAGAAAATCGAAATATAACAATGTAGATTACAGGATTTATTAAGTATAATAATATATTTCATGTGTTTTATGATTCACACACATTTAGGGTGAACCTAAGTAAATGCAAATCATAAAATTCCATACGCATAAGTAACTAAGTAGTTTATTTATTATAGTGGCATGTGTGAACATTTTTTTTATAAATCAAATTATATAACATATATAATACATCTAGCCCAATCGCTTATAGGTCTCCTTCATTTTTAAAAATAGTTGCAATAAAGTGATAGAAATATAAATAGAATATATTGAAATTGCCCTTTATTATATGGATCATTATAAGTCCTCGACCTGAGTAGAACCACAGACCTTCTGTAAGCAAATTGAATTGAATAAAACATCTTCCACCGGACGGCTGAAATGACTCATTTAAGCATATTAGCTGGAATACAAGTAGAATTACAGACCATCTGTAAACAAACTGAATTGAAATATTTAGGTACAAACTGATATCCGATAAGAATCAGCCAACTTAATTGATTAATATAGGCATGAGCTGACAAGTTCAGAGGGGAACCTCGGGCATTCCGTGAAGGAACAAAATTGAAAAATACACCTTCCCCAAGCCAGCTGAATTGAATTTTTTAAGCACAAGCTGGTATCAGAGTAGAACCACAAACCTCTGTAAGCCAACTGAATTTAATCATTTAGGCAAGAGCTGACATCTAAGTAGAACCACAGCCTTCTGTCAGTCATATGAATTAAACTATTTGACAAAAGCTGATATTTGGTTTAGAGGCACAAGCTGATAATACAAGTACAATCGACTAATATGAGCATGCGATGACATCACAGTATAAACCTCAGGCCTGCTGTAAGCAATCTGGGCATAATAGCTGACATCTGAGTAGAAGCACTGCCTGTTGTCAGCTAAATTAAACTATTTGGCCTAAGCTGATATCTGAGTATAACCACTGTCCTTTTCGTAAGATAATAAACTATAGTACCAAACTTTGCTTAAGAGGTATTAAACTCAGATGGTATTGAAACTCGGCTTACAAACTTGTAGTAAAATTTAATATTTTTTCAACATTTCCCTAAATTCATTCTGTTTATGATTTGGCTGAATGAAGCAATTGTCCATTGATATTTTATTTTACTATCTTTATTGGACATTATTGATCTGTCAATCATAAAGATAATTTAAGATTTACCTTGTCAACAAAGGAACATGGTTTTTTTATTGCTCGAAATAATCTGTAACTACACAAATCCATATTGTAAAATGTCACAAGAGATTCTGCATCACAACAATTTTGATCCATGGCCGCTGAAACGAGAAATAAGACACAAGATTAACGCATAATAAGTATCTTATTAATGAGGAAATTTTGCAGAACAATGTCTTATTCTAATCTAGTTAAATATGAACAAGAAGGTCATGATGAACCTTATGTCGCTCACTTGATTATAAAGGCTCTAACTGACATGGAGCAATAAATTTTGCAAGTTATGAATGAAAAGCAGATTCTAATCTTAAACTGATAATTATCACGAAGTTCATATAAGCATCTCAAATATTGTACATTTAAGATAAAAGTCACTGCAAGGCGGGACCTGTAACACTCCACTTTTTTCTCTTTTTTGTTGCTATTAAAATCAATGGTTGCTAAGTAAAGTCAAAATTTGTTAGGATCAATGGTTGCTATGGAATGTCAATTGCTGCTATGAAAGTCACGTGTTGCTATGGAAAGTTAACGGTTCCTTTTGAAAACAGTGGTTGCTATGGAAAGTAAATGGTTGTTCTCTGTGTCATTAGTTGCTATAGAAGTTAAAGGGACTCCACTGAGGTTTTAAAGCCTAAAAACATAACATTTGAATTCCTTACATAAATCAGCAGGGTACTTAAATTGAACAGGAATATATGCAAAGATAGCTTAGAAATTTACTTTGAAATAAATGAAAAATGGTATTTTATGATTTTCTTAGCCCGATTTGAGTGAGCAGTGTTTAAACGCTTTTCATTTTAGGTCATTTTTTACAATTTGAATAATTATTCTGGAAAAAAGCAGTGCCGGAATGATCTGAAATTTTGCACAAAGATTAGTGGTCTAAACCCTACATTAAATGGTACATTTATCTGGAAAAACTATTTTCAGTCCCATCAGGCCATCCTTAAAAAAATGTTTGTTTGCAGTAACGCGACCGACTCACAAAATTTGCCCCTACTCAAAATTTTTTATTTCATGGTCTGGATGAAAATTTTTTTTTTTTTTGAATCAGAAAATTATGCCTTGTGCTTTGTTTTCGTTCTTTTAAAGGTTAATAGAAGAAATAAAATGTAGGTCTTATTAAATTAGAATTCAGTTATCAATTTATTAATTGTTACCAGATTATCAAAGCATATATTTTCCAGCATTTTGAAATTCCATGTTTATTTGGGAGTACAGTTTAATAGGGCTGCAACGATACACCAAATGTTCGATTCGATTCGATTTCGATTTTAGACACTTCGATTCGATTTTTTTCGATTCGATACATTTTTGATTACTAATTCATCTTTGGTATATAATTCTGCTTGTCTGTTTCAAAAGTGAGTGGCCCTTCAACCTAGTGCTTTGCTTTTCTGTTGTAATATAACTATTATATAAACTTATTTGACTTAATAATTGTGTTTATGAGAATAAAAAGCTCTTGTCTATTTGGAAAATAATTTTAATCAGGCAAATAATCATTAATCTCAGTAACATGACTATCACAGACACAGGTAAACGTCGCGTGGCCATGACTTACACTATACCCCCGTTCCCCCTCTACAACCCAAAACCCTAAAAAAAAATTATGAAAAAAAAATAAAAAATTTATGACTAAAATATTATAAAGATATTTTACTCTACTTTCATTTTGCATAGAAATATCACTAGCATCTCAATTATCAGCGCATATATTCATCAATTTTTCACCAATCTTTAAACAATCTTTGTCTCAAATCTTAGATAAATAAATACTCTACTCAAATCCAAAATGAAAGTAAATTGGCACAGCAGAGTTGTTCCCTTTAAGTACTTTCATTGGTCCGAGGTTTTCCTGTGACCAATGAAAATACTCCATTTGAAAACAATCTGCAGGCCCATTTTACTTTCATTTTGGAATGAGAATTTGACATATAGGAAAAAAGGTGCGTTATAGTTTCATAAGATGCTTTGATTGAACAATTATTATAAATAATAACTTAATTTTATCATATTTAAATACGCAATACAAAGAAATATTCTTTCACGGTGAATTTAGTGTGTTTTACTCGTGAGAGTTTAACCGAAACGGTGCAATCAGATCTCTTCCGAGTTTCATTTGTTGACAGTTTGGGCTTGGATATTTCTTGCTACGTATAATCAGCGAAGGTGCCAGTGTTGTTTTCTTAAAGAGTATTTATTTATCTAAGATTTGAGACCAAGATTGTTAAGATTGGTGAAAAATTGATGAATATATGCGCTGATAATTGAGAGGCTAGTGATATTTCTATGCAAAATGAAAGTAGAGTAAAATACCTTTATATTAAATATTTTAGTCATTAAAATTTATTTTTTTTCATAATTTTTTTTAGGGTTTTGGGTTGTAGAGGGGGAATAGAGGGGTATAGTGTAAGCAGGTACGTATATTAACATACGTACCTGGTGTAAGTCATGGCCACGCGACGTTTACCTGTGATCACAGATACCTTCTGCTGACTACTGACTAGAAATTTAACAAATTATGTAAATTGTAAAGTAAATAATAATGAACAAAGTTTCACAAGGTTGTCAGAACTGATATTGAGATATTCTGTTTATAATTCCCATAATATGTAAAATGAATATTCAGATATTCTGCTTATTAATTAATTCCCATAATATATAAAATGAATAATCAATCCTAATGCCAGTGTTGTCACACAATACTTCTTAGTCTAGTAAACAATACAGAAAAAATGAAATTCATGAAATTATCACTTTTTTCACACTTGACTAAAGAAATAATCATCAATCCCAAATATGCCTACTTACTGTAGTACAAATCAAACTTATTTCGGGAAGGCCAGGACACGGATAAAGCTTACAAAACAAGTCCACATCCATGATCGTGTTCGTGTTTTCGTTTCATATGTTACTTTACTTTACTTTACTTTATCCAGCGTAGGGTCGCGAGATCAGAAATCTCTTATAACCCCCTCGAGGTCTGACACCCAATGATTATTATCCGGTATAACAGTATATAATTTGTTTTTCATAACCTTATCGAGTCTGTTTTTTAGCGAATTCAGCGTTGGTGAACATACTACAGAATCTGGTAATTTATTCCACTCTGGTATTACTCTTAATGAGAAAAAATGTTTTCTTAATTCCTTTTTACATGATTTTATTTTCAACTTCATGGAATTTCCTCTGATGTGATGATTATCAAGTTGTGCTTTTTCAAAAAATACATTATAATCTATATCTTCCTTCCCATTTAATAATTTCCATGCTTGTATGATATCACCTCTAAATCTTTTGTAAGCCAAAGTAGGAATTTCCAGAATTTTTAATCTTTCTACATACGATAAATTTCTAATACATTTAACCATTTTTGTTGCTCTTTTTTGAACTCTTTCGATTGCTTCAATATCTTTTTTAAATCTTGGACTCCAAATAATATTTCCATATTCAAGGTGTGGTCTTATAAGAGTTTTATAAAGTTTCCGAAATTGCTTGATATTAACATGTAAGAAAGTATTTCTGACCAATCCAGTTATTTTATTTGCTTTATTGATACAATTACTTATGTGATGTCGAAATTTCAAATCCTTATCATATAATATACCTAAATCTCTTTCTTCCTCACTAAACCTCAATTGTTTAGTTGTAAAGTCACTTTTCATAAAATATTGATGTTCCGTGTTATTGTGTCCATAATGAATAACACAGCATAATAAAATTGTCTACATTAAATTGCATTAACCACTTTTCACTCCATTGTATTAAACTATCATTGTCCTTTTGTATTTGGTTAAAGTCTTCATTTACATTTGCCAGGTTAAATAATTTGGTGTCATCCGCAAAGAGACGCAAGGTACTTTTAATTTGACTTTCAATGTCATTAATGAATATAAGAAACGATATTGGTCCTAAAACACTTCCCTGTGGAACACCACTTGTTACACTACAATAGTCAGATTTACTATTATTAACAACAACACACTGAGTTCTGTTTGTAAGGAATGCTTTGATCCATGATAAAAGTGCACCACCAATACCATAAGATTGCAATTTAAGTATTAGTCTAGAATGTGGAACCATATCAAATGCTTTTTTAATGTTGCATTAAATTAGACGTACTGCAGGACTTTGGATATGACACGTCCGTAAAGCATATTTTGCAAGTAGCTTTATCCGTGTCCTGGCCTTCCCGAAACCCAAAATGTTCCCAAACTTTTGATTTTATTTTTTTAGGAGAATTTTTTAATTTTATTTTATCAATATTGATGTTGGTAGCCATTTTGACTTGTTTGCCGAAAATAAAACATTACGCGCCCACTGATTGGATGACCGAGTTTTAACTGGCCAATCGTATGTAACGTGATGAAGCGCGAATGGAAAAACTAAAACTCTCACTTTTTTCCATGTTTATTTGTGGGTGGGGAATCAAATTGAAAATGTTACAGTTGGTATCGGGAATCGAATCGGCGCTCATAAAACCGGTTTTCGATGCATCGAAAGGTATCGTATACGTTGCACCTCTACAGTTTAATAAAAAAAAAATCGACCTACCTACCCACCTTGAAAATTCTGGGTCGGGTTACTGCAAACAAACATCTTTTTAAGGATGGCCTCATGTCAAAAAAAAAAAACCTCAGTGGAGTCCCTTTAATGGTTGCTAAGTATTAAAATAGCAATTGTTGTTAAACATTTAGAAACTAAGGAAAATCCATGACTCTTTCAATGGGTGCACAGACGCTGGGGGTCAGATCCTGCCCCCAACGTGATACACCCCTGTAAACACTCTATCAAAAATATTTAATTATTTAAACACCAATGGGACATCTGCTACAACGATATAACTGGTCTTCAAACAATTTTTACATATCTGAATTATATATCTTTTTTGGTTTTACTACAATATACATATAAAGAAATCTACTCCCCCTCCCGGCAAACAAGGGAAATTTTGCCCCCAAGCTATAATTTGTTTAAACTTGTTTGAGGAGCACTGGACAATGTTTCATGCAAAACACCTAAGCTTTAGGCCCTTAAGATTTTTAAAGTTTTATGCGTAAGGCCAAAATAAAAAATATGTCTGGTTCAGGGAACCCGACCGACCCTATTTTTTTACCGCCGACCCTAAACTTTTTTTTTGATTTTCGGTACGAAAATTTTTGGGTACGAAAATTACAAATGTGAAAATTTTGTTTTACGATGCCTGTTGAAATAACCGATGAGTAACAATCTTAAAATAATCAAAAAATATTTAATCTTATATGATCAAAATCAACAACAATTAGAATTGTGAATGTTTCTGCAGGAAACAGATAAATTTTCAATTGTCACATATTTTCGCGATGCCGCTTTATATAATTAAAAAAAATCGTAACCAAAGGGGAGATATGTTTTGTTAAAATGTGTGTAATAACACTTAAAATATAGTTTAGGAATTAAATTAACTATTAGTTGAGATGGAGCCATTACCAGTATTTGTTTGTAACGTACAATGAATATTTTCTTTTTTAAGGGAGGGGGGGGGGTGTAAGAAAACAGCATAATGGTCTGATGATGTATATTTTTTAAATTATATTTCAAATCTTTTCAATCACTTTTATGGTACAGTGTTTTCCATTTGGGACATATTACCATTTTCCGGAATAAGCTTTTTCTCTGTTCAAACTCTGACTCCCTATATACATCATATATGTCAACTGAATATAAGTGCAGCAAAGAAGGCTTAACATATTCAATGTGATCTGGAACTCCTACTTTTTTGTGCTTGGGAGTCTCAAGACTCCTTCTTTGTGAGAACCCTGCAACTGTTGGTACCAGTCGCACATATATATCTATAGACTTGCGCCCCCCTGAAGACCATTTGAATATGTTTAATATTAAAATTATATATAGCTGTGTTATTTTGGTCCCCGGAATAGTGCATGTCAGATGCTCTAAGCTTATAATACAGCATTATTATTAACTTGTTACAGAGGTGACCCTTGATCTTTTAATTGTCAGACCTGTCAGATGCAGGTTAGCATAGTACAGCGGGTGATTCAAAGGGAAAGGGTACATAATAAGCAGAATAGAAAGCAAATTAGTATGAATACAGGTGCTACATGGTTAAATGACTACATACAAGAAATAAACAACACAATATCACATGCTGATAGTTTATTACAAAATGGTGTTTGCATTGATTGATTACAATCTTTGTTTAAGTATGCAAGCAAGACA